GAGATGTTTATACTGTCCTCAGTCTTGGTGTAAACAGGGCGACATAACGAAAAGGAATTATTGACCGAGAAAGAGAGAGGCATACGAAGTGATGATTCAGGAAGAGAGGAATAAAGATAAAAAAAACAAATAGTGGAAAAGAATTAAAGAACGTTGATACAGCTCTTCAACAAACGAAGGTCTATAAGCGTGTAATTTAGTAATTAAACTAATCCACCAACAACAATAACTCGGGAGAAATATAATACTACTTTATAAATTAACAAATGACAATCAGTACGGTGGAAGATAGTCTACTGTAATAACAACAACAAAAATAATAATAGCGATAATGATTGTACAATCCCAACATTGGTTCTCAAATACCAGTATAACATTCATGACCCCTTACGTGTTCAGTATACCTTGGGCAATAGCGCGTAACGGAGAACTAACCGACCTCCCGACAAGTATAAAGTGACTAGGTGGATAAAACAAATGAACAAACAAGGTTAAAATAGACTAATAGTTTATTCTAATTATAAATAAATAAATAGATAAAATAAAATTGATCTTATTCCACAGTTCTTCAGTGGTTTACCGTAATGATTTTAGATTCAAGTGATAGTTCATATAAAGGTACTACTACTATCAGTCAAGAGGCCGACGACTAGCAGGTGTGTGGATGATAATGATGGTGTGTTTCATTCACTCTACCTGACGCTTTACCTTAAACTCTCTCTTTACTTCTGTCTGTCTGTCTGTGTTTTTGTCTATAAATAATAATAATAATAATAATAATAATAATAATAATTAACGGTTTATTAAGAAAACATGGCAGTCCGAAGGCTGAAAATATACAATGAACAGAGATGACAAGTTACATATGGTGAAATCGGGGAGTGGGTCACTTGATTGACAAAAGCTTTCAATACAAAAACATAAGAAACATAGAGTCAACATATAGATTAACTTAAGATATGGTACTGTAGCAGCTGGTCTGTAGACGTTCTTGTGACCTGGTGTCGGCGCCAACAAAGTCCTCCCCACTGTCTTGATGGCCGTTGTACCTGACTGCTAAGCCGCTACCTCACTCCAGGTAGGTCCTCCAGCTCACACAGGGTGTTCTTGTTCCTCATATGATGTAGTTAGGAATTAATAGTTCCTTACCTGGGTGGAGTAGGGAGTCCTGGTGTAGTGTTTCTTGGCTTCTCATCCAGTGTTGGTGGTGGCGAGTGTACTGCGGGCTGGGTGTGTTAGGCCGCTAAGTACTGATTGTCGCTCTAACAGTCGTTTCTTCCGCGTGTGTGTGTGTGTGTGTGTGTGTGTGTGTGTGTGTGTGTGTATGTATGTGTGTGTGTGTGTGTGTGTGTATCTTTGTTCTGTCTTTCTATGTCTTTCTCTGACTGCTTCTTTGTCTGTGTCTGTCTCTTTGTCTGTCTGTCTCTCTCTTTCTCGGGGAGGGAGAGGAATAGGAGACAAGATAAGGATGTATATTGATAAAAAAACTGATGATAATGGTGAGAAGAAGAAGAAGAGAGAGAGAGAGAGAGAGAGAGAGAGAGAGAGAGAGAGGAATTATTCAGGTGTACGAAGAAATTCAGGTAAAATTCTTAATCAATACACGAATGACAAATTGTGGGGAGGGAAGGAGAGGGGAATGGGGGGAGGAGAGGGTGAAGGGGGTCAGTGACAGGTGTAGTGATAGGTGATAGGTGATGGTGATGGTGGTAGGTGATAGTGGTGGTGTTGATAGTATGGAATGGTTGTTCGTGATAGTGGTGGTGATAATATGTTGACAAGTGTGGTGGTGTAGAGTTAAAACGAAGACAATATGACATTAAATAATAATAATAATAATAATAATATCATCAACAGCAAATCATAAATTACAATTAGGTACAAACATCACTGAACCTAACCTAACCTAACCTAAACCTAACCTAAACCTAACCTAAATCTAACCACCAGGTAGCCTCAGGTGTTATATACTGTAATTATCGAGTGAAATAAACTGGGGTGTCTAATCTTCAGGTGAAATGTGTTTACGATGAACAAACAAACAAACACAATACAACCAGATGGGGTAGATATATACTGAACACACACAAACACACAAACACATACACACACAAACACACACACACACACACACACACACACACACACACACCCAAAAAAACACATCATTCAAGCACTACAAAACGGGAAACAGACAGTAATAATTACATAATGATAGCATGTCCCCCACCCCCGTGTGTGTGTGTGTGTGTGTGTGTGTCACTGCTATCAGCCAGACAGTGATGGTGGCAGGACACAGTGATACCAAAATGACTCATGCCTTCCTGTCTTTCATTGTCTCGCGTCCACTTATCGCTGATGACCACTATAACGCAGGGGGGGTGGTCTCTGTCTGTTGTGTATTGTACCTTTGTAGTGTGTGTGTGTGTGTGTGTGTGTGTGTGTGTTCGTCTGTAAGAATTTTCGTATCATAGTCTATTTTTTTATATACGACTGAAATAAGAGAGAGAATAATAAAAGAGACAAACATAAGGAGACAATCAAGGAAGAGAGAGAGAGAGAGAGAGAGAGAGAGAGAGAGGCGGTAGCAGGCAATGAACCAGGTAGAGAGGGCAGGTATCGGCAGCGGCGGGACAAATAGGAGGGTGGGGAGTGAGGGGTGGGTTGGGGGTGGGGGGCAGGTAGGGGGTGAGGGTGGGTGGGGGTGGGAACCTCCCTTGCCAACTTGGCGACCACTATATGGAAAATCCATAGCGGGTCCCCTCCCAATGACTTTCCGATATTACATTGGCCACATTAAAATGAGGAACTTCCCTGTGTCTCTGAGAGCTGGATGGAGTTGCTTCTAAGTCAGAGAAAAACAAATTGTGTGTATGTGAGAGATAGAGAGAGAAATCTGAGAGAGAAACATGCATAAACAGAGAGAGATAATGGAGACACCTGGAGAAATGGAGTGAGAGAGAGAGAGAGAGAGAGAGTAGTATTTAAGAGAGATGCAGTACTCCCCTTCTGCTCCTTCTGCACTAGTACCTTCATCCTAATCCTGTGGTCCAATCCTCCTCCTATACAAGAGAACCTGCTTCACCTCTTTCTCCTCCTACAGCAGTACTCACTCATCCTCCGTGTCATTTTCCCTCATTGTCCCTCTTTTCCTGCTGCAGTACCCCCTCCTCCTTCTTCCCCTACTACAGTTCTCCCTCTTACTTTTCCTCCTGCAGTCCCTCTCCTCCATTTTCTTCTGCAGTTCCCCCTCCCACTTCTCATCTTCCTTCTGCAGTCTCCTTCCCCCCCTCCTCCTCCTCCTCCTCCTCCGGGTGGCAGTCTCTGGAGCGTGTGGCGCCCCAAAAAATGCGGGTGGTGAGTCAGTGTGAAGAGGAACTTTTAATAATGAAGGAAGTTACTCCTCGCTAACTTTAATTACTTTCAGGTCACGCATTAGCATTTACACACCCAGTTTACCATTTTCAATTTTCTGTTTGTCTGTTTGTCTGTTTGTCGTGTCTGTGTGTGTGTGTGTGTGTGTCTGAGAGGAGGAGGTTTTATTGCTTGTGTTTGTTTGATTTTTTTTTCTATGTTTGTGTTTTGGTTTTAATGATCGATTTGTATCCATCAGGTTACAAAAAAAAAATCGTCATAAAGAAATTCAGTTTACTACTAACCAAGTCCACTCAAACAAACAAACAAACACCAACTGTAAACGACATCATCATCATCATCATCATCATCATCATCATCATCATCATCATCACCACAAACCAATTACATTCATCAATAGTCTTTAGGAACCACAAAGAAACTCATTCATTACAAAATCGTATAAGACCCACTACACTACATCCACCACAAACAAACAACATTCACCACAAACAAAGACATCCACCACAAACAAAGACATCCACCACAAACAAACACCACTTCCATCACAAACGAACAAACCGAAATTAAAAAAAAAAAAATAAATCCCAACACCCAAAAATTAACTGATTGAAAACATAAAAATATAAATTAAATTGACAAGAATAACGTGACCCCCAATGACCACTTACCTGCCTTGTACCGAGCTGAAGCAAGCGACTGGATGAGCACTTTGAGAACGACAGAGTTTGGGTCAGAGGTTAACTTCGTGCGGATTCTTTGTGAACTACTGGTTGACGTTGTTAGTAACTGTTAGCCGGCACAAGACACCTAAGGGTGGAAATGAGTCTAGTCTGGTTGGATTGTCGTCCTTGAGGGCTGATCTCGTCACAACAGTCAGTTCCATTAACGGTTATTACAAGTTAAAACAGTCAGTTCCAGTTAACTATAGACATATAATCTATCTATCTATCTATCTATCTATCTATCTATCTATCTATTTCCAGTTCTCATCATCTTGTACACACACTAAATATCTCATTAATCACTAAACATTCTTTTTTAAAATGTTTTTCTTACGTCAATACAGAAATGTTTATCTTCCTAATCTGTATATTTCTATGTAATATTTCCATAGCAAGAATTACAACAAGTATATTTTGATTCATTTGCTGATAATATAGAGATCCTCTCGGTGGTAATTTACCGTCAACGGGGCAGATAAGGAGAAAAATGTATGACACCTTTGATAAATTTATTGAATGAACATATGTTACATAAGTTATGGCTGATGCTGTGTATCTCTAAGTCACATACACTAAATTTTTCAGTGGCCTTAAGGTTTAACCTGTCGTGTTTTGGTGGGTCCTAATAGGCTCTTAACCCCTAACATGGAGAAATTATATACTGTATATAGATTATTATTTTTTATTGATTTTACTTTTATAAATGTTTATAATTTTGGGGATTTCTTGTTCTGTTTTTGTTGGGATGTTGGTTTAATGAAGTTAGATTTTATCAATACAATAAAAGTCTTATTTTGTTAGCTATAAGTAATATTCAATAATGAATTTTAGCTAATGATTCAATTTATACTCAAAGGTATTTTCAGATAAAGTTTTAGGTTCGTTGATAAACAAATAAAGTCGAGGTTGGAGTTTATTGATGACGTCACCCTTGCCAGTGTTACCAACTAATCAACTCCACACTGTTGACATGTAGACCCGACACCCGTCTGTTTTTAACACATAATTCCACTTGCGATTTTACTTCATTTGACAATAAAGTAAACAGGTCGTACAATAACTATGACTAAATGACATGTCCTTGGCAGAAGTTTTGAAATAACACTCTACAGGTGATAGTTGTATGAGGTGCCTGTTAAAAAATAATAAAATACAGAATGTTGAGCTAGAAATATAGTGATGAACTGCAGCTAAGAGAAATAAAGATTATATTAAAATCCAAATATCGATGATCAGCTGTTTTATGTCAACACTGAAAAACAAAAAACAGAAGGGTGTCGCGGGCGTGGAGTCTTGTGCAGGAGTCGGTCTACTTGCCGATGATGACCCTACGCTGGGCCCCCACGTTCTGGCCTGAGGCTGTGGCGCCCTTGTTGGAGCCCGCCTGTAGTCCGATCACTGTCTTAGAGGCGGCCAGCTGCTCTTCAGTGAACTCCCGCTTGTGTTCTTCGGCGGGGCGTGGACCCAGCCAGGGACCGGGCCACTCAGGGTGAAGGTACGTCTGTAAGGGCACACCAACACTATCAAGGGACGAGATAGAGGAAGGAAGGAAGGAAGGAAGGAAGGAGGAGATGGGAGGGAGGGAAACACGATTGAGAAAGAAAGAAAGAAGAGTATACAGTGGGAGGGAAGGGGAAAAGAATGAGAAGAACGGAAGAGGATACAGAGAGGACGAGAAGAAGGAGAAGGGTAAGAAGGAAGAGGAGATACAGTGAAGAATAAGAAGAATGAGAGGGATGGAGGGACAAGGGGAGAAGGGGAAGCAAAAGGAGAAGAGGAAGATAGGACAAAAAGTGTGTGTGGGGGGAGATGGAGGTAGTAGATAAAGCAATAAGAGAGAAAGAAATAGAAGAGTGTGAACATAGGAGGGAAGGAGGGGGGGGAGGAGGGATAAAGAACACGAGAAAAAGATAAACAAATAAACAAAAGAAAAAAACATAAAAGTAGGGAATGGAGAACCGAAGAGAAATATGTAAATACACAAGAGAAGAATAATACTAGGAGAAGGGAAGGATAGAGAAAACGTACGTATATACAGGGTGATAAAAGAATGGGAGGGGGTGGGAGGAAAAGGAATAGGAGAGAGTGAGTGGGAAGGGAGGTGTGTGTGTGTGTGTGTGAGGAGGGTGAGACAAGCACTGAGGTCACGAAAGAGAAAACATATATATAGTCTGAATAAAAGTGTACACAGGGAATAGCCGAGTGTAATAAAGATGGAAGAGGAAAACAAAATAAAAAAAGAACCAGATAGGATGAGAAGTAAAAGTTTGTTGATAAAGATGATATTTAATATATAAGAATTATTTCAAAACATAAATATAAAAGTTATTTTAATATGTCCAGACAGGGGGATGATATACAGTGATAAAGTTATCCTAAAATATATATATATATAAATTATATAAGATACAGTCTGTGCACGTAGAGACTAAGTGAACTACAGTATATACATTTATAAATAACTGGCTCTATAACCTCTTTCTATATAGCTATACATATGCATACTGTACATAGACACTTTACATTACACATCCCCTCAAGAGACAAACATTATGTCATTAGTATATATATGCAGCCATGCCATATTGAAATTACTACATTTTACATAATCTTTCGAGAAAAAAATCATCAATTATCTTGCCAAAATCTACCTGACAATTTAAAATAAAGAAATAAATTGAAAATAACATTAAAAATAAATAATAACGAAGAGAAAACAGTTAGGGGATGATATTTGTTAGTTTTATAAAGACTATGTATGAGAAGGGAGGAATTCTGAGCCTTCGAGTTGAGTTTAGGAACACAACAACACGTTAAACCTGCATGGAGCTCAGTGAGGCGTTGATGGATAATGAATATGAATGTTTTCGACTAGTATTATTACAGGCAGGAGAGAGAGAGAGAGAGAGAGAGAGAGAGAGAGAGAGAGAGAGAACATTAGCAAATTCTTAAGTGCACAGTAAATAGAGGTCTCAGCTGATGACCCCTTACCAATGGACTCAGATCGTGTCCTTCTCCTTCTCTTCTCTCCCTCCCTCTCTCTCTGCCTATCTATCTCGCTTTCTCTCTCTCTCTACTTATACTATTTATTTTGGTTTTCATTCTTCACCTCTCTCCCTCTTTCTCCGTCTCTCTGCCTATCTATCTATCTTTCTTTCTCTGTCTGCCTATTTCGCTTTTTCTCTCTTTCTTTACCTCTTGCTTTCTCTCTTTCCCTACGTCTATCCTTTCCTCTTTCTTCCTTTCTCACTCACTCTCTCCCGGGCACCCATACGCCCAGGTGCAAATAGTTCCACAGGCAGCAACACCACATGGCTTATGACTGGTCACCTGAGCTGGGATTTACAAGGGCAGAGAAAAGGACGTAAAAAGGGGGAGAGAGAGAGAGAGAGAAAGAGAGAGAGAAAGAGAGGAAACGAAGAGAAAGAGGTGGGAAAGGGGAAAAAAAGAAATATACGGGACTTAAGGTATAGGAAAGATGCCTAACAATGATATAATCTTTCCATTCAATAGTGACTTGGAGAGAGGATGACTTAATTTAACCTTTAAAAGAGTTTAATAATAATAATTGAGGTGGTGATGGTGGTGGTAGAGACTGATGGTATTGGGTGGTAAGTGATGGTAGTGGGTGGTAGGATTGCTGATGGTAGGTAGTTGGTGGTTGGATGGTGGTTGGTAATGGTGGTTGGTAATGGTGGTTGGTAATGGTGGTTGGTAATGGTGGTTGGTAATGATGGTTGGTAATGGTGGTTGGTATTGGTGATATAGTATTAATGGTTAAAGTGGTGGTAATAACAGCATTAACGGATGTGATAACAACAGAACTAAAGTAAGTGAAAACAGAAGCAATGGATGTGTCATTGGCCTGGGGGAGGGATGTGACGTACCGCACGGCCGAGGGAGAAGAGAGATGTGCAGACGGTGGCCAGATCTTTTTTCTCAAACAGGTCGGCAGTCTGGAACAGGTCCTGGATACTTACGCCATATTTCCTCATCGAATCTGAGAAGCTGAAGAAGAACCAAACGATATTCCATTAAACACGAGGATAAGATAGATGAATTAACTTACGTGGTACTTAAACCTGAGACTTGGGAGGGGGTGGGGGGTAGGTAACGTGGTACTTGGACTTGATACTTGAGGGAGGGAGGGGGAAGGAGGGGAGGGTAGGTGGACTGGCACTTGAACCTGGCACTCTAGAAGAACAAATGAACTTACTTCTTAATGTTCTCCATCATCTTGAACTGGATCCCAGAACTGTGGATCTTCGGGATGGCACCAGGTGAGAGTTTGTTCATCAGTCGACACAACACCTGTATAGGGAGGAAGAGGAGACAGGTGAGGGTGTGGGAGACGAGAGGTAACACAGACAGACAGACAGGGATTTAGACAGATGATAGACAGACAGACACGAAGATAGACAAAGAATAGTGAAGGAAGAACAGTTAAAGAAAATACCCTTACACACACACACACACACACACACACACACACACGCTTAAGTCAGTGAGAACAATTCAACAGTAACAGTCGTACACAGTGAGGTCCCAGGTACCCAGTGATAACGGCCCGTGATAACCAGGGATGTGTTAATCCGTCTACGATAGGAAGGCCTGGGACCAAACCTCACTCATATAACACCATCAGTGAGGGAATTACTACACCACATGTCCCTCATAACACCATCTGTGAGGGAATTACTACACCACGTCAGGTCCCTCATAACACCATCTGTGAGGGAATTACTACACCACGTGAGGACCCTCATAACACCATCTGTGAGGTAATTACACCACGTGAGGTCCCCCATAACACCATCTGTGAGGGAATTACTACACGACGTGAGGCCCCGCATAACACCATCTGTGAGGGAATCACTACACCACGTCAGGTCCCTCATAACACCATCTGAGGGAGTATTACATCATGTGTTTGTTGTTCAACACGTAACAACTTACACACCTGTATGTTCACTGTATGTTCCTTGAATTTTCTCTAATGAAGGCTTTTTGTTAAACCACCAATGTAAGCGAAAGGAAGTCATTTATATCCAATGTATATTTTCAGCCTTCGGGCTGCAGTGAACTTTTTCAATAAAAACCGTTAATTATTATTATTATTATTACACACACACACACACACACACACACACACACACACACACACACACACACACACACACACACAATAATAATATAAAAATCCCTCTACTCAACTGAATTAAAAAGCAACATTAACACGATATATTAAACACAGAGAGAGAGAGAGAGAGAGAGAGAGAGAGAGAGGAGAGTGAGAGGGGAGAGAGAGAGAGAGAGAGAGGAGAGAGAGAGAGAGAGAGAGAGAGAGAGAGAGAGAGAGAGAGAGAGGGAGAGAGAGAGAGAGAGAGAGAGAGAGAGAGAGAGTCACCAACCGTTCCGTCTCGTGGTGAATGTCACCAACTCAGCGCGTTAGGTACAGGTTCCCCAGCACGGTGAAAAATCCACCAATGGCTTCTTCTCCCCTGTTCTTGGCTCCTGTTTCCCCATCATCTGGCAACACACAACGACACAGGGTCACTTTGATGCCATTGTTTAGTAGTAGACGTAAAACACATATAAGGAGACTTAGTCATTCGGAAGATTAGACACCCTACCATGAGGGAAAATACTGTCTAGGGAAAATAAAAGGTTAGGTTAGGTTAGGGTTAGGTCGTTCTTGGTTTAACTGGGTAAGATACCTCCAAGTTAAATGTTGGTAATTGGGAAGGAGGGGTGAGGGGGAATATTTCTAAAGGTATTAAAAAGATATAATCGTGTGAAACTGAAAAGAAAAAAACATTTTAAAACACATCTTTTTATAAATCATCCAGCCAGTGAACAGGTATTTTTTTTTTTCTCGATGTAGTACTCTTTTGCTCTTGGCCGAATGACGCCATTTGTACTTGTCGAAGTGACGGGAGAATTGAACTGAATAATATCATCTATAAATATATTTTTTCCAATCTTCACTGAATTCAAAAACATCTAGTGAAAATAACAATTGGAAAAGTTTTGCTGTTGATAAAGATCTATTACTACTTTGTTTTATTTATGTTTCTCGCATGAATAGTTAGTAAAGGAATCAGATATGTAAAACTGAATCCGTGAAGAGTTTTTTTTTCGGTGTCGTCTTGAGCGTTTAAATGGTGATGATTTTTCGAGTCTGACCAGTTATTTAGGTAGAGAAAACACTCCTTAGATATTCAAATTTTATTCAATTGGCTCCACCTGTTTCTGTGCGTCACTGTTTATTTACAGTTAACAGGTATCAACACACCTCGCTTAATCACAATTTGTCACTTATTAATTAAATTTTCAAGGTTTTACTGCGATCTAAGACTCATTATATAAATAAGTTTGAAGATTCTTAATGCCACGTTAATAAATTCGTACGTAAATAGCGTGAAGGAGATGACATCACAGCTCAGTTTATACCACCTCCTTCCTCCCTCCCTTCAACAGGTGGGGCAGAGCGGCGCGAGTCTTAGGTGTTGATGTGTTTACTAAGTGGCTGGCTATGACTTTTAGTGCCAAGGGTAAAATTTAGGTGTCAAATAGATTCATAAAATTATATGTTTTTTTTTTTTTTAGATGGAAGTATCAAGGGGCAGGAATTTTTTGGCGGGAAACTTTTTTTTTTTTGGCGGGAAACCAGAGAAAGAAGAAGAAGAAGAAGAAGAAGAAGAAGAAGAAGAAGAAGAAGAAACAGCTGGACATAAGAAAAAACGAAAAGAAGGAATGAAAATATAAACAAAACAAAACTTCTCATTAATTTTCCCCAACCAAATATTTCATAAATCTCACTCACACACACACACACACACACACACACACACACACACACCAGACAGACACTTACACACGAGCCTCCAACTCCTCCTCCTACTTGAGTCAGGTGTTTCAAGTGGTAGTGAAGGTAATCAGCTGATGGACCAGGTAAATTGTGCTTGTATTACCGCGTTTACAATTTACTTAATCGTCTTAATTAAAAATTAGAGCCATTTACTTTTAACCCCCCAAACAACCGCTCGAAATAACAGGCTACTTATAGTTTCCTGGAGACCGAGAGAGAGAGAGAGAGAGAGAGAGAGAGAGAGAGAGAGATAGAGAGAGAGAGATAGAGAGAGAGAATAATCTTGTGCCAGAGAATGAAGAAAGAGAAATAGATTATCTTCCTCTCCCCTCCTCACCTCCCCCTCCTCCCCCCACACACACAAAAAAGTGAGAGGGGAGGTGAGATAGTCGACAGGTGAGGGGCTGATATGTGTTTGTTTGTATGTAAGGAAGTTTATTTATGATCTTTGTGTGTGTGTGTGTGTGTGTGTTGTCAAAACTTCCGCCTCTCCGCCAGGTGAGGACGCGGAAGTAACAGGTGATGATGCTGTCTCACCTGTTGTAATATTTCATCATCAGCTTCTCTCTCTCTCTCTCTCTCTCTCTCTCTCTCTCACTGTTGTTTTAAAAGAGTCAGTCTAGAAAATGAATAAAGTCAGTCTAACGAGAGAGAGAGAGAGAGGTAGGAGGGGAGGTGGGGAGGGCTGGCAGGCGGAAGACAAACAATATACAGGTGTTGTGTGTTTATAACCAAGTGACAGGTTTTACATAAGGAGACGGGGAGGAAGAAGAAGAAGAAGAAGAAGAAGAAGAAGAAGAAGAAGAAGAAGAAGAAGAAGAAGAATAGTAATCCTGTTTCACATTTCACATTGGTCACAACCTGTACCCCTCCTCATCTACACTACACATACACACACACACACACACACACACACACACACACACACACACACACACACACACACACACACACACACACACATCCTGACCACCGAAGGGTCAAGACGTACCTGGCGCTCCTCTCGGAGCAGCCAGGTCAACTGTTAAGTTGGCCCATACCAACCCCTTCCCTGAACCCTCCTCCCCACCGGAATATCAACAAGTTCTCGCCAGAAGTTACAATTTCATTTAGGAAAGGAATGGAACCAGTGTTAAACAGAGGTGAACAGTGGTGAACAGTACTTAAGTCAGTGAGAACAACTCAACAGTAACAGTCGTACCCAAGTTAACCTTCACACAGTGAGGTCCCAGGTACCCAGTGATAACGGCCCGTGATAACCAGCGATGTGTTAATCCGTCTACGATAGGAAGGCCTGGGACCAAACCTCACTCATATAACACCATCTGTGAGGGAATTACTACACCACATGTCCCTCATAACACCATATGTGAGGGAATTACTACACCACGTCAAGTCCCTCATCACACCATCTGTGAGGGAATTACTACACCACGTGAGGACCCTCATAACACCATCTGTGAAGGAATTACTACACCACGTAAGGCCCCCTCATAACACCATCTGTGAGGGAATTACTACACCACGTCAGGTCCCTCATAACACCATCTGTGAGGGAATTACCACACCACGTCAGGTCCCTAATAACGCCATCTGTGAGGGAATTACTACACCACGTGAGGACCCTCATAACACCATCTGTGAGGTAATTACATCACGTGAGGTCCCCCATAACACCATCTGTGAGGGAATTACTATACCACGTGGTCCCTCATAACAACATCTGCGAGGGACTTACTACACCACGTCAGGTCCCTCATAACACCATCTGAGGGAACCACTACATCACGTGAGGTCCCTCCTAACACCATCTGGGAGGGAGTTACTACACTACGTGTTTGCTGTTCAACACGTACAATCCTACATTAATCTGTATGTTCACTGTATGTTTCTTTACCTTTCTCTAATGAAGGCTTTTGTTAAACCACCAATGTATGTAATAAGTCATTTATGTCCAATGTATATTTTCAGCCTTCGGGCTGCAGAATTTTTTTCAATAAGCCGTTAATTATTATTATTATTATTATTATTATTATTATTACACACACACCTCAGACGCCGCGGGAAGCATCAACCAGCTTGTAACTTGTGGGTGAGGAGAAGTGTTCTGGGAGGCATTTTCTTTATCTCGAAGTTTATCTCTACCCGGTGTCAGATGATATAATCCCAGACTGACATATAGGTGTAGCAGGTGTGTGGCAGGTGTGTGTGTGTGTGTGTGTGTGTGTGTGTGTGTGTGTGTGTGTGTGTGTGTATTACCTTTAGTTAGATTATATCACAATGAGTGTTTACATTTTACATATATACAACTTGATGTGGCAAATTATTCTCTTCAAAGATGATGATTATAGATTTAATCTCTCTGTGTAACGCTGGTACAAGAAATATATATATTCTAGATCTGTCAGAAGCATAGCAGTAATATCAAGTACATGTTTGGATTAAGAACATTTATATGACATCTAAGACAGAAGAGAGTTTACCACATGGAATTTAAGTCTTAGTTATAAATATATTCAAAGATATAAAAACAAGATATATAAAGTGAGTCCAGTAAAAATTAAAATTAAAATTAGTTTCTCTTACATCCATTGGAGTTGTGGGTGGGTCGTTTGATAGGAGGGTTCCGAGTTGTGGTGTTGAGACGTCTTGGTGTGGTATATAAAGGATGTAGAGGATTGTATGGTGGTGCTGACGTGTGGTTGTAGTGGCGTGGAGGTGTATCGAGTTGTGTATGAGAGTGTTGAAGGGGTGTTAGCGGGGAGAGGAGGGAGGGAGGGGGGGTGTTGTCAGGTGGTATACAGGCAGAGAGGGTCACTTGATAGGGGGTAGGGAAGGTGTTGAGGTGGTTGGGTAGGGAGGTGGAGCAAACATGAGATAGGTAACATGTGAGGTTTAACAGAGAGGAATATTGATGGAGGTTAAAGGAATTGAGATCCGTCAGAGCTTAGTGTAATAGATCTGGACATGTAGTGGAGAGGCTCAAGAAGAATGGAATGATACATGGAGTGGTGGACTTCAGAAGAGAGAGGGGTGTGTGGGAGGTGAAAATGAATCATGAAGTGAGTGGGTTTGAGTGGGATGATATAGAGACGGGAGGTGGGTTTATTTGGCTCGAGTGACACTTGTGCTTGTGTATATTTCATCAGCTGGTGTGTACCTACTCGCTCATCAGATGTTTCTGTGTAAATATTTAATTTTTTCTTCAGATATCACCTGTGTCGTGTTTGGCTTCATATTCAAACCCGGAGTGAAGGAACACCCAACACCACTGCACCACAGATTTTATACTGATACTTTTCCTCATGAGTGTCTTAAGACTGGAGATCGTGAGTAGTCTTCGATAAATATATCACTCTTCATTCACTCTCTCTCTCTCTTCTTTCTTTCTGTCTTTCTTTCTTTCTTTCTTTCTTTCTTTCTTTCTTTCTTAGAGTTGTTATTGAATAGTTATGGGTCGTGATGATTGTATACCCGCTTCCCCGTATCCCACACTTACCATTTATCACACCCTCTGCCTCGCCTCTCACCTGATATAAACACGGAAGTTGACCTGTCAGGATCAATCACAGTGGTTTATTGCACAGG